AACACACTCATGGAAACTTCAGTCCACAAGTAAACAATGATGTGAAAAGAGAAGTCAAGAAACATCACACTATTATTGATTCTTGCAAGTAGGTGAAATCATATAAGGCTGCAATATGTGGTTGCTTTGTATTTACAATTACGATGTGGTCTATATCTAGGAAACTCTCAATCAACAAAAATAAATAATTACAATAAACCATCAAATGAAGGCTATAAACAGTCTCAGAATGGGAAAATGAATACTGCGTACAGACGCTAAAAAGAAGTGGTATTGCCAATTCCTCTTACTAAAATACTCTCAAATGATGCCTCCGCTAGTCCACCAAAACTGTTATAACAAGTTACACATCTCCTATGTGAAACATTTAATGCCGTCATTTTCTTACTTCTTACCTTAATTGACCTCTAAGAAGAATCTAACACATTCATATTCCCTTTTCCTTCCTCCCCCACCCCAATTTTATTTACTATAGCCTCTAAGACTTCTCACACATGTTTTTCCACTTGTTGGACAGCCCCAGGGCCAGTTCCAGAACACCTCTCATTTATAATCCCGCATCAGGCCATCTCATCCTACTTTCACTTTCAACTATCGGCTATGCCTTTCTCTCCATATAAATGAACGCTTTCCAATGAATCTCAGGCACAGATAACCAATACTACTTTAACCAATTACTAATTAACCAATATTACTAATTGTATTCGAAGATGCAACTTATATTTAATATGACAAAAACTCATCCCATTCCCATCCACAAATCTGCTAAACCCATAGCATTCCTTATTTCAGATGGTGGCAAGACCACTCTTCCAGCTACTCAGGTAAAAAGCCTTACGAGTCACCTTGGCTCATCTTTTTTTTCCACACTTGATCATAAAATAAACCAGAAACACTGGTGGTCCTACTATAAAAATCCTACTATAGAAGAAATCAAGTAGCCAGTGACTTCGACCAACGTCACTATAAATAACCTGCTTCAAACCTCATGTTCTTTTGCCTGGATTTTTCCAATACTCAAAGTGTCTTCACTAGGTTTCTACTCTTGTCCACTTAGAGACTGCGCTTCCTCCATCCAGATTTCCACTTGAGTGGTGTCAAAAACCAGCTTCGTCATTTCATGCTTATTCTCCAAACCCTCCACACCCTTCCCTTCTCATTAAGTCAAAGGCTGACACAACCTGACCACGCTACCTGCTCTGAGCTCATCACCTGTTATGCATCTTGCACACTGTTTTTTTAGCCTCCTTGTTTTTTGTTTGTTTGTTTGTTTTTGTTTTTTAACTTCTGGCATATTCCCACCAGCTCTTGGTATCCACATCATTTTCTCCCTCACTGCCATTTTTTACTGAAATGTCATCTATAAGGCCTACAACAAGGATACCAATTTGATATAGCCAACCTCTCCCGGCATTTCCTGTTCCATTTCCACTCTTTCCTCTTCTCCATGGCTGCATAGAAACAGGAACATTGTCCACTTTTGTTCACTTTTGTATTCCTAGAGCTCAAAACAGTGCCTAGACATAACAAACAGTAATTCATAATTGCTGAAAAAATGATTGCATCTTACATTTTATTAAACTGAAACCTAAAGTCATTACAAATGAAAATTTCTTCATTCTGCCAAGCAATGATTTAAATCCCACTTGTTTTTCTTAAAATAACATTTAAAGATGATAAAAGCCTTACAGTCTACATTTTACCAACTAATATGCAAGGTGCCAAGATAAATACAAAAAACAAGCCTCTGTCATTATGGAGGTCAATATAACATGAGATGCAGACAGACAAGAATAGTTCCCATATTACTGCAGGACAGAAACACATACAGTATACCAGTGCTGAGGTTTACATATTTACAACATCAAAGGAAGACTTAAGGGACTAAGTGATATTCTAGCTAGTTGAGTAGGCATTCTAAAAAATAAAAATTATTTCAAGAAAAGTGTGTATACAGAAAAGAAAAAAACAAATAAGGGATATATTCATAGAAAAGTAAAGAAATCTAGGTATAGTGAAACAAAAAGTTGGAAATACGATGGGACATTCTCTAGCATTCTAGCAGCACAGTGAGACACTGGTTTTAAGCACAAAACTAGCAGATCCTAAGGTTAACAGAGGAAATACTTGCGGTATGATAGGAGAAATGGTTAGGTCATGAACAGAAATTCATAATCATTGTTATATCGGAGGCTACTTGAACAGGAAAGTTTGTGCATTCTTTTTCTGAATAACAGTCATAAATGCATGGACTATAATGTGCATATTTAAAATGAAAATGATTATATTAAAATGTACTATAGAGACATAAAGAAATTCAACTTAATATTACAATCATATGTAATTATTTGAAAGCAATAAGTATAAACGATATCTGAAGAAATACTCAGTAATTCAAGACATACATTTCATATATACTGTGATATGAAAACATCTGTGTTTTTTATTGGTAACAATGTCACAAGTACAGCTAATATTATTAGCATATGTTTTCTACACTCTTACTGAAAAGTAAGGCTTACTTTTGGTCAAAGGGTAGTGAATATACAGATCGAATTGTTTTTCCTGTCTCTGTCTATGAATTTCAACTTAAGTGCTCATCTACACTAAGGTCCTGGCACAGGCTAGGAAATGCAAGAGATATTTAGAAAGAATATATTTCAAATAAATAAACATCCTCTGGAAAAAAAGCAAACAGATAAAATAATCCTAACCTAAACTGGATTGCCTCCAAAAAGTAAAAAGGAAACACCCCTATATCAATTGTTATTAAAAGTTTCCTTTACTTTGCTAAAAAGAGCACAGACAACAACAGTATTATCGCCAAAACATGATTCATTTTCAAGATGACTCCCTCTCTGTTTAAAGGTTTACATTGTTTTTTACCAGCATCGGACTGTTTACTCACACAAACTTGTAAACATGTAATTTTTAGAATTAACCAACAACAATGCCCACTTTGTTTTGATATGTAAGACAAACAGAAAATGAAGAAAAATGACCATCACTCTAAAGTCTATGCTTCCAAAATCTACACACATGATGGTGAAATTCTGAGAGAGTAACATTCTGACACATGCTACTGGGTGTGGGGGGGATGCCTCCTGAAATCCCTGCCTTATAAAAGAAAATTAAAATTTTAAGTACTGTCAAAGAGTGTGGAATCTCCTCTTTTGAAATTTCTACGAAATTATGAAAACAATGAAATCAATAAAGGTAGGAGAAAGGGGTATATTTTGATTTGGAAATCTGTAATTACTCTTCAACTACTGTCCTTTTACAAACGATACAATCTTTCATTGCAACCTTCACCAAAATATACTGAAAGGTATTTGCGTATAGCCATTTAATGTCTATCTTTCTCTTGAAGTGAAAGACGTATGAGGACAAGAATAACTTTAATTTTTTGTGTACCCTGTGCCCAAAATCTAGGATAAAAGCTGTTATGTGGTTTGCTTAATGAAAAAGGAAGAATGGGAGGGGAAAAAAGACATGCAAGAATATACTGTGATGATATACAAACGGAAGGTCTACAAATCCTTCTTTATCTATCAATGTCTCTCTTTTTATTTTGAGACAGAGGCTCAATAAATTACCCGGGCTTGTCTTGAACTTGTCGTCCTCCTACCTTAGCAACCTAAGTGAAGGGGATTACAAGTGTGTGCCACTATGCTCAGAACAATACCTCAATCTTGAAAACCTAAAATGGTTATCATTAAAAAGATGCAATACTCAGGAAAAGAGTAATTCAGCACCCACATGTTAAGGCATTCTGAAGAGACTGAAATGGTATAATCACTCTGATATTACTTACAAAGATTAAGATTAACAAATGTAATGACTGAGAATTTCCACTCTAAAATAAGTATACATTTATACCAAGAAACAGTAGAAAAATTTTCATTGTATCATTAGAAAAACTCCAAACTAGAAACCATACAAATGTACATGAACAATATTAGAAAGGATAAATGGATGGAAACAGATCTGCACAAAGGAATAAGTGAAGAATTTTAAACACAGACTCAAAAACCTGTCAGGTCAGAGACACTTAAAATAGTTTTGTACAGTGACTAAAATAATTTTTCACCACATAGAACAATTATCAAAGCAAACAAAAGAAATAAACTAAATCTACCTGTAATAACATGAATGAATCTTATGAATATAATATCTAAAAATTAAATGTACTAGAATATAAATATTCTACAATTCCATTCATATAAATATGAAAAACAACATTTAGGATACTTCCTTAGAAATAGAACTATTGGGCAGGGGATTTAGTTCAGTGGTTCGGTGGCCTGCCTTGTAAGCGCAAGGATCCAAGTTCAATCCCTGGTACCAAAACAAACAAACAAACAAACAAAAAATAGAACTATTTATAAAAAATAAGCAAGCGAATACCATAAAAACCTGAACCATGGCTTAATATTATAGAGAAAGGGCACAGAAAAGACACTTTGATAAGGTTCCACTTACTGACCAGCATAATGGTTATGTAATTATTTGCACCAGGATAAATTTCTGAGATACATCTTTACTTCTTTTTCCTATAACATACTGGCATAAATCCCACAGAGTGTACTTTAAAATAAAATATAATGACTGCTCTATCTGAAGTATACATGACTAATGACTATTCTTTTGTAATAATGAGTATTTCTGAATGAACTACAGTACGCCCATTCCAGACAGAATGTTCTGGAAGACATATGCGGAAATGTAGATCAGTTCTTTAAAGTTATGAAAGTATTTGAAATTATATAAGCATGATACCAAAACTTATATCCTTAGTTAGGGAGCATGGTAAAGATCATCATTACTATAATGGCTTAAGCTCACTAATGATTTAATAAATAAGAATGTTTTAAATGAGTTTAAGATCTTGCTAGTCCATGAACGGATTGCAAAAATTTTTATTTTGCCTTAGCGCCCTAAAACTAAAAACACAGTCAAGGAAGACTGAAGGGAGCAGTACAGAGAGAGAAACTGTTTACCATGCAGGGGTGAGCCAGAAGGGCTGCTGGATAGACCTGGAACAGGGCTACAGCGACCTCCTTGCTTAGACGTCAGCTCTTGTTCAATCTCTTCCAGCCCAGCACTTTTCTGGAAACGGCTCATGCGATTCACTACTCGTGGTGACATATGAGTACGAACACAAGGCTGGCCACCATAAGGGTTGATAGGGAAAACATGCGAGGTACCCCGGAGGGTACTAACCACAACCCAGCGACAGTCATGGCTGAAGCAGATGTCCTGAACCTAGAGATGAGACAAGACACAAACATAGCTGAAATTATATGGATTCTGCTGAGAGTATAACATATCACCAAACAGTAACAGAAATAACTGTCTCATGCGGAAATTTACCTAAGAATAGGTTAGTAAATGAAAATTTTTGTTTAATCAGTAAGAGTTTCACAATGAATATCAATCAAAACTCCACATCAGGGATCTATAAAATTTAGAAAAGGGAATTCTGTTTCTTTCTGCATGGAGTACCAACTCAGAAAACAGGATCTAGGCATCTGATTTCATAAAGAATTGTAAAAAAAATTAGGAGTATTTCCTAAAAGGCTTTCTAGTAAGCATAGAATGGTAAAACTTAAAAGTTATATACTACAATGAAAAGCTCTTAACTCAATCATTTACTCAAATATTAATTATACACCATCCTAAACACTAGGGATGAAAATCCATGTTATTGCAGTTTAATAGGAAGCTAAGACACATAATTAATTTATTAAAAGATAATACATAGGAAGTAAAATAACTTTCAAGTACACAGGCACAGTGGCAACAAGAAGGAAAATAGACTCTGCTTCGATGAACAGGTGTTCACTTCTCACTGGAAGATAATGACTCAGAGAATAAGGAATAATTACACAGAAAAAGTCTTAGAATACCTCTGGACCAAGGAATTTAGCTGTCTTTTTGTCATTATTTATTATTATTTTTGTTTTGTTTTGAGTTTGAGACAGGGTCTCAGTGAGCTGCCCTGGTGGTCCATGACCTTGCAATCCTCCTGCCTCAGCCTCTAGAGCTGATGGCATTAACAGAGATGTCACTGTGCCCAGCCTGGAATTTGGTTTTAAGTATGATATTCTTACTTAAAAGGAGAAACCCACTCTAATTTAAATCTATTTAGATACTCCATTTTATATACAAACATAAGGTAGAAGTGGTAGGTAAGTTCTTTGGAAGCTCCCCAGAAGTCAGCAAAAAGCCAGAAGTATTTGGGTTTTATTTGAGAAGTAGTGAGAGGAGATTTCAATTTTGAAAAAATGCAAGTAAAATGTAGAGGAGTACAATGGTGGTAGGGGACGTGGCTAGCTATAGGGAAGTTAGGTAGGAATTCACATCATATTCAGGGATAAACACCCCAAACAGCGATGGGGTGCAGAAGAAAGAAGGTATTAAAACACTCTAAACACACACCCAACAACAACAACCATTACAATGACAAAGACGATATTCATATATCTGCAGAGAGTCGCAAAGTTTTTCAATCAGGTGCCACTGGATTTTGCATGATATACCATCTCTACTATCTACTGCGTCCATGCAACTCTGCCCTTGTCCTGCCATAACAAAGAGAAAATGTAAAATACAGTCACGTTCCGAGGTCTGGGAGACTTTACAAAAGGAACTGGCTGCTTACAGATCTGATCTAGGGAAAATTAATCACTAATTTATTTTAGATTTATACAATGAATTAAATTCTTTGGTATTTGAAGTAACAATTTTAATTTACCATCTCTAATTTAATCAGTTTCAAGGTCTGAAGTTTAACTTGAGCAAAAATATCTCCGTGCACTTTTTCCATAAAATTAAAGTCAAGTAAAATTTGTTATTGCTCTAAGGTAGGGTGTGCGTGCTGGGAACCCAACCCAAGGTCTCATGCATACTTAGCATGTACTCTATCACCAAATACATCATCAGCCTGTTCTATGCATTGTGCACATAGCTTCTAAAAAGGAAGGCTGTCCACAAATGTCTTAGGTTTCCATCACTGACATATACAAGTTTTCTAGCACACAACTGTCAAATAGTGCTTTACAAATAATAAAGCAGGTTGAGACAGGGGCAGAGGGGAACCCAGACAAGGAAAATCATAGAGGTACAAGGACATCTCAGAGAGGAATTTAACATGAAAACTATGTATCTGTGTGTATAAACATGTGTGAACGTCAGGCCTATTAACTTTCATTATAACAACATAAATTAAGTAAAATTCCAATATATCAGAACTTCAAATAAGTCTAAACTCAAGATTAAAATCTTAAATGATATCTCATATTTACTGTGAACAAAAGCTGTATGTATTCATCAAAGCACAAATTTGGAAAGGGGTCTGAAACCTCTTGAATAAAAATTTTTATCTTATTTAGCAAGACAACTTCACTGTGATTCTACTGCTATGAAAACCAAAAGTTCAGCCACGTGGCTACTCTTCTAGATTACTGTCACATATCAAAATGATATGTTAATGAACTACGTAAAAGCTGGCATTTAACTACCAACAATTTTGGCATTTCACATAAAAAGTTCTTCCACATTTGCTTCAACTTCTGCAGTTTGCTTATAACAATTTTCAGCTTAACTGACTGTCTCTCTCTCTCTCTCTCTCTCTCTCTCTCTCTCTCGCTCTCTTTCTTTTGGTAGCGGGGATTGAACTTGGGACCTTGCACTTGCAAGGCAGGTGGTGGAACTGAGCTAAATCCATAGCATTAACTAACTTTTCTAAATGGATTAAAGACCCTATTTAAAGAGTGAACACTGTAGTAAAGAAAGGAGAGGTGCAAAAGAAAAGTATGAACAGCAGAAGCTAGAAAAGAGATATTATATACAGTAACAGAAAATTTTAATATCATAATATCAAACTAACACTTCTGCCTGAAGAATCAAATATATAAAGAAAAACATCATTAGGCTTATTTAGTGATGTATAATCCACCCACACTGTTTTCTAAAATCTTTTTCCAGAACATTTATATCGATGAAAAGGTATTTCTTTCTTCCATTTTAGACTACATGTGATATGAGGTGGCATTAACAATCAGTATCAAGGCAGGGAAGGCAGAATTCCATCTAATACAACTTAGAAAACTGCTATTAGAGAAGCGATTCTGCGGCATGACCCTGAAGACATATGAGTGAGCAGAGAAGGGGTGCTAAAGACGTTAGCTGTCAGGCAAATTAGAGAAACTAAATCCTTCAACATTACAGAGGATAACAAATCACCTGCCCACAGAAGGACAATGGATATATCTGTTGGTATTAATGAGCTAGCCAGGTGGTTTTTCATATACTATTAAAAGCCATGGTATTTCTAACTAAACATTTTCTCATCAAAAAACAGGACAGCTCTATGGAGAGTCTCACTAATTTAGCAGTACAGTAGTAGTAAACATCATGAAAAATAACATTTACCATGTACTCGTGATAAACAGGAGATAAACAATTATATGCTCCTGTTACCATCCGAAATCCTGCTCTCAAAATTAGGAAACAAACGTATTTCTATCCCTATTTTTTGAAAACACTACTACTTTGTAACTCAGGAACTAAGCAGTTTTGGGTAACAAAGGGAATATGCTCCCAGCAGGCCACATTTCAAAATGCTACTGAACTAAAGCAGGGGATGTCTATGGGCACCAAACCAGTGTGGATTTCTTTAAGGACTGAGATCAGCAAACCTGAACTGAGGTTGGCAGACTTCTTCTATAGACAGTCAAATTGTAAAAAGTTAGGCCCTGCAGGCAAGGAAGCAAAACCAAAGGTATTATATGTAGGTAATAAAAATAGAAAAAAAATATGAAAAATCTTACTGATGAAATTTTAAAAATATAATGAACTTACTAAAATATTTTTGTAACAAGCCTTCCAGTGGGAAGAATGAAATTCATTTTCAGAGAATAATATTTTACATAACAGAGGTTCAAAGTTAGTGTTATTATATTGTGAAATTCATCTATTAGAACAATTTCAGGTGGATAGTACTGTACATAAGAAACAGCCAGGGGGCCATTGACCATAGTTCGCTAAATCATATTATACATCTACATTGTGGTCAAGAAAGAATGTGAAGTAGAAAAAAACCTCATAAACCTAACGCCCAAATCAACAAAGGGTAAGATGTTCTCAGGTTGAAAATTAGAATTTCTATGATATAGAAGAGTCAATAGAGAACAATGGAAAAAAAAATATATATATCCTTGATAAAGCTAAAAGAAGAATCCACACATGACATGGGTTAGGAATATGAGATTAACATAATAAATGTAATTTAAAAATTCAGTTGCAGACATTTGGTTTTGCTTGGTATTCAAAATGAATACAGCTATATTCAATACAAGAACACATAAGTATTTCAGAAATGTATCTAAACGTGAAAAAAATACAGAAACATAAATCCAAAAAACCTAGAGACAACTATTTCTCAGTATCTTGAAATATATCTTTCTAAGCATCTCTAAATGCATAAATGGATTTATATTATCTATTTAAAAGTATAATAAAAATACACGTGTGCATGCATACATAATTTTATATCAGATTACATTAAAATAGCCTATTTGATATGCAAAGTAATCTATGAATATTGTATAAAAGGTTGTGAAAACATAGGAAAATAAATAGTGCTATGAATACAAAGCCCTACATATTACTCTATGCTTCCTAGAGCTGGTATATAATAGTAAATATATCTATGCTTAGTTACCTACATGACCATGGGAGAGTAAGTTAACAACTCTGAAGTTCTGCATTTGCAAAAAATAAAAACCATAATAAAGAAATCTCATAGGGTTGTTAGTTCTAATGAATTAATATGTAGAAGACTTAAAAATAATGCCTAGCACTTAATAAGCAATATATACAGTTGTCATTTTATCATAAAAATATATTCCAACTGTTCAAGTATTTCTGTTTTCACTTCTACTAACAGGGACTAAACTACTACCATCTGTCTACCAGATTACTCCATTAATATACACCTAACACAGTCCATGCACCTAAAAGCAACACAAGACAGAGCAGATAAATTATACTTCAACATTAAAAACTTTTGCACATCAAAGGATACTACTTAGAAAGTCAAACCACAAGACTGGAGGTATTTGTAAGACATCTGATAAAGATGTAGTATCTAAATAATTTACAATTCAATAATATAAAGAACTCAATTAAAAGTTATCAAAGAATCACTGACATTAGGGAAATGTAAATCAAAACCTCAGATACATCACTTCTTACCCATA